GACAGAGATGCGGCAGGACGGCAGGGAGGTTACTGGGGCAGGACACACAGAGCTCCGGAAGCCACTCTCAGGGCTTTGTCGTTGATCCTAAGATGGAAACCCAATAGGAGTTTTTAGACAAAAACATGACAAGGTCTGGCGGACGCGCTAAGGAAGAACAGTGCAGGTGGGCATGGACGGGGGAGAGAGATAAGTTCTATACGTGGTGTTGTTTGGACCAGGTGGTGGCTGCAGAGATGAGGAGAAGTGATTGGATGTGATATACACTTTGAAGTGGGGGCCACCGGGTGGCTGAGCTTGCTGGCTGTTAAGAGAAGAGGATGATGGCTTGACGCCTGTGGCTCAAGCGGCTAAGGCGCCAGTCACATACACCTAAGGTGGCAGGTTCGAATCCCCAGCCCGGGCCCGCCAAACAACAATGATGGCTGCAACCAAAAAAGCCAGGTGTTGTTGTGGGCGCCTGTGGTCCCATCTACTTGGGAGGCTGAGGCAGGAGACTCGCTTGAGCCCAGGAGTTGGAGGTTGCTGGGAGCGTGATGCCATGGCACTCTACCCAGGGGGACAGCTTGAGGCTCCGTCTCAAAAAAAAAAAAAAAAAAAAAAGAGAGAAGAGGATGATGAGGCAAGGATGACTCCAGGTTTTTGGCCTGAACAACTGGAATAAGGGATTACCATTTGCTGAGATGAGACAGACAGCAGGAGAAGCGGATTTCGTAGGAAATTCGAGAATTTTTGGATCTAACAAGTGAACGATGCTTATCACACAGCCAAGCCCGACCACGGAGCAGGCAGGTGGATGTACAAGCCTGGAGTCCTGGAGAGCTGTCCAGGCTGTGGACACAGATTGCAGCGTTACCCACGCATGGTAATTTTAGTCTCATTGAAAATACGACATATTTCAATTGGGATAACATCTATTTCTTCTTCAAAGATGTATCTTTTGAATTGCATCAGCTTCAAGTTTATTTTACTTCCTACGCTGTTACAGATGTAAAAGAGAGGAGCTGAAGGACTGTCCTTTATCACCTCCCAATTCATGGACCACACTCCATCGGCAAAGTCAGACGAGAAATGAACACTAAATAAACCAACCAAACCACCTGTAACCTACCTCAATGTCATACTGACCCTCTCTGTCTGAAGAAGGATGTCCCAAGAAAGAGCATTCTGAAAAAATTTATTTGTCCAAAACTCAGACACAATTTAAATACAGACCTCGGTAAACAACCAGGTCTCTCCTGTGTCAGAAGCACAAGAACAAACCCACTATAGTGCTCAGGATGGCGACAGCCATTTAAAAAGTAACAAAACTAAGGGGCTGAGCATCCCCTATTATATCCAAGTGCCCAAGGTAATGTTTCCTAGGAAACCAAAAATCTCCCAGGCACAAATAGTATAAAAAATACAGTCCTCTAAAACGTCGTGTTTTAGAGAATGAGGACTTTTTAAACTCTTCAAACAAAAACAAAAATCCACCCTCCACTTTCTTACTGACCCAGACAGAACAGACACAGGGTCTCAGGAACAAATACCATTGACCTTGTCAAATAAACACACAGACAAAAAAAAATACAACAGCAAAAAACGGCATGGCCCACAAAATCCTCAAAACGAACCAAAAACTTTCCTAGGAGTGTTGCATTCTGATACATCAAAGGTTTTATGTCACTGCTTTCTTTCCTTCTTTCTTTTTTTGCCATTGCTTTTTTAAAATATCACTAATTCAGATAACGAATAGAACCGAGGTAGAGTAAGAGGCTCATTTGAATATTTCAACAGATCTGATAAAATATTTTAAAGATATATAATTATGACATTAAAATACACATAATATAGAAGATTTACCAAGTAGAATTCCTTTAGGGACCAACTAAAATTAATTTAAATCGCAGATGACATGATTGTTTATATAGAAAATGCTAGGAAATCCACAAAACAACTGCTGGAGTTAATAAGGGGACTTAGCAAGGTCATAGTTTAATGTACAAGAATGAGCATACTGTCTGAGTCTGTTTAGATGATATTTTAGAAAATGTAAAACAATCTCCAGTAAGTGAAAGTAGACAGGTGGCTGACTGGGGTCATGAGTGAAGGAGAGGGCTCTTCAAAGGGGCACAAGGACTCCTTGGGGTCATGGAAACCTCTTGTATCCTGATTTCTGGGCATGATTCCTTCACATTCATCATTGAATTGTTCAGTTTAAATGGATACAGTAAATCATACAGTAGTTATACCTCAACAAAGTTGTCTTTAAAGAAAAAAAAGGTAGGCTTGGTGCTGGTGGCTCAAGCGGCTAAGGCACCAGCCACATAAATCTGAGCTGGTGAGTTCAAATCTAGCCCAGGCCCGCCAAACAACAATAACGGCTGCAACCAAAAAATAGCAGGGTGTTGTGGTGGGTGCCTGTAGTCCCAGCTACTTGGGAGGCAGACGCAGGAGAATTGCTTAAGCCCAGGAGTTGGAGGTTGCTGTGAGCTGTGATGCCACAGTACTCTACTGAGGGCAACAGCTTGAGGCTCTGTCTCAAAAATAAATAAATCAGTAAATAAAATAAAGGTAATGAGAACCAACGAACAAAGAATACAATTTAACATTTTTATTTAAGTAAGCATATCTAATTTTTGCGTAAATAGAGCTTCTAAACTGCTTAATACTACACGTACACAGGTTTTTCCTTAGCTACTTCCGACATGCATTACCTCTCGACTGGATTTTGTGATTCATTTGTTTGACAAACCTCATATCACGCCCCCAAAGGTTAATTCCACTCAATTCCTCTCTAAATTAATACAAATTCTCAAAGAATGTGGCCCATATTAATGAGGTTTTCTCTAACTGAAAAGACAGAGGAAGTCCTTGATGGAAAAGCTCAGGGTGGGGTGGGGACAGCTGTGCCAACCATATGACTTCCAAGCTTTGTTCTAAGGCTGGTTCTGTTCCAGACACTTTTATGCTCTCGTGCCAACTCATTTTTACACCAAGTTTTGCTGGTAAGGATACAACTGAGTTGCTTAGAAAGACAAATTTTAAATCCACTTGAACTTTATCCCCTAAAACTGAAGACCATCTGTAGATGACACAGTGATGGCCACACAGAAGCCAGCATGCACCAACACTTCCTATCTGTAAACGCCTGTTTCCCAAACACGCTTCTTATTCACTACTCACCACAATCCTCTAATGTAAACATGAGTATTATCTCCTGTTTTTTTCATAACGGAAACTAATGCCCAAGAGAGGCTCAGTAATTTGCCCAAATTCACCCGGCTAGTAAGAAACATAGATGAGTCTTAAATATTTGGGGTACGTTAACTGATACTCAGTTACAGTGCCATAAACTCAAACCTTAAGTAGAAATGTACACCTTTGGATTCAAAGTATTAGTACTTCCTGCGTTACTAATGGGGAAGCACACATTTAAATACGTGGCTAACGTTTTGTGGGGATTTTGCTTGTTACCACAACACATATTCTTTTTGGTAAGCAATAATATTCGCTGAGAAATTATTCACCTGCATTTTTAAAGAGTAGACATCTTATAAAACAAAGTCACATGAGCTTCCAGGGAATGTCCTGAAGCTTGGTGTTCTCTAAGAAACACCAGAAATTTGGCAAATTGTAAAACAAATGGCAGAGTAAGGAACTAAAAAAGACAGTACTTCAATGTACAAAGTTATGATTTAATAAAACAAATTATAAAATAAAAAAGATAGTTGGTAGGTAACTGGAGAGTTATCATGGAACTCAGCAGTCAAAATACTCCCCTGACTTAGAGTTAGTCTCCTGCAGCCATGAGATTTAGTTAGTCTTCTGCAGCGCAGAAATCTCTAAACTGCCTGTCACCACTTGGAACTGCCATTTAACAGAGAAAAATCATACAGATGCTTTCAGTGAGGACACTATTGAAATAACGATACAAAAAAGTAACACCCTACAAAATATTTTAAAGATAATAGAAGATTAAATGTATGTGCTGATGAACATTTATTTGTTTGCATCCTGACATGAGCCGAGGTTAATGTGCTGTTTAGACATTCAGGAAGAAAAGAAGACGATATGGAAAATAAATTGTCAGCCGGACCCTTGACTCTTCTACATACCGTTGGCAATTCGAGGCCTGAAAATCACCAATAAATCATGAAATTAAGTTATGCACCTTCATCTTTGACAAAAATTCTCTTCAGTCATTAGCTTAATAATAAGGTGTTCCAGAACTTATTTATCCAGGAAATGGGTAAAGCAGAACATGCTGGTACAGTTTCTACTAGTTAATTCTAATAAATGTAGTCCCAGCACACTCCTAGGAATTGTACCACTTAGAGGAAAGCATCTATGTGGGTAGAGAAGCAAATTTCATTTTAAATTAAAAAAATACAGATATGTTCAAGTACCATCTCCGCCTGAGTATCTGGCTTTATTTCTTCTCCCTTTTGGTAATCTCCAGGGTTAACAGAATTCAGAAATAATCTAATGAGGGGTAACAGTGTCATGGTGTGACTCTAATTGTGCTTTTCTTATGTCTGCCATGAATTCCCCATTTCAACCACATGTACGGGTACCTGCCAGAGGAAGATACCAGGGAGGGGCTGGAGCTCCCAGCCACCATCTGCTTCCTCCCCCGGCATCCCTAGAAAGGCAGACAAGGGTGGGAGTTTCTCCTAGAGACAGGACAAAGTGTACTGCACAGTGGGCCCACTGAAGCTTCTTCAGGCAGCAACATTTGGACCTGGCATGTCAGAAAGCAACACAGACGGCCTGTAACAGCAGTGCCAGATGCACCGCTAGGGCTCTCGTTTTCAACCGAGCCCAACAGTTGCTGATAAGCAAGGCCCATAGGTGCCTGAGTGCAACCCCCTGCCCTGAGATAGATTCAGGCTTCTCCAATGCTCCACAGCTCTGAACCCTCCGGCCCACCACACTCATTTACTTTCCTGTATGGTCCCATTAGGCACTGGCACTTGCACCCTGATCCACATTCATCAGGTAAATGGGGTACTTACAGCTGCATGACCAAGTACAAGTGATTTGGGCTTTCATAGATGTCTTCCAGGGCAACAATATTTTCATGCTTAATCCTAAAAGAAAAGGCAAACACGATCGTAAGGATAATTAGACATACAAACCTTTAAAAACAGAAATCTCTATAGCAAAAAGTAACAAGATAGAATCCAAGTATCTTAGCAAAACATTGAAGACTCTTCACAATCTTGTCCCTATACTTTTTCCAGAACCATTTCTACATCCTCTCTTGTCAACATCCCATTATCTTGCAAAGCTCAGCTCAAATGGCTGAGCCCCTGGGTGGGATTTAAATGTCCCCCCTCTTGTACCGATGTCCCAATGGCCATCCCAACTGGCCTGAACAGCAACAGGTGTACACATTCATCTCCCAAAACAGAATGTATATTCCAGGAAACAGTTTCACTGTTATGCTTATGACCCCCTCACTGGGGTTCATGTCCCTACTATCACCAAATATCAAATGCATTTTCCCAGCAAACCAGATCAGTGCTATTTAAAATATGGTTCTCAACCAGGCAGCACCAGCACCATCAGGGAGCATGGTAGAAATGCAAATTCTCAGGCACTGCCACTGTCACACAGTATCACAAGCTCCAAGAGTGGAACACAGGCATCTGGATTTTAACAAGATCCTCAGATGATCTACAGGCACGAAATACAACTTGAAAAATACTGTTTTACACCGGTGCTTCTCAAACTTCATGCAAACCAATCACCTGGGGATCTGGGTACACTGCAGGGTCCAATTCAGGAGGTCTGGGGTGGGTGGGGCCTGAGTCTGCGTTCCTAACCAGCTCCCCCTCCCCAGATGCTGATGCTGCTGGTCCAAGGAATACATCTTGAGTAGCAACGTCGTAAATAAAGAGCCAAGGAATGAGAGGACAGCCAAATTCTAGACCCTAGAATTATCCATTAGGAGCAGTTTCTGCTCAGAATGGAATGCTTGCTATGGTTTACAGCATTTAAAAGCAGAATCATTATTCAACGAGTTAATTACCTCTTACCATTTAAAAACAAGCAAATAGACTATGTACACTGGCTCTCACCTATAATCCTAGCTCTCTGGGAGGCCAAAGTGGGTGGATTACTTGAGCTCAGGAGTTTGAGCAATACCCTATCTCCACTCAAAATAGAAAAACTAACTGAATGTTAGAGCCTATAATCCCAGCTACTTGGGAGGCTGAGGCAAGAGGACTGCTCAAACCCAACAGATTGAGATTGCTGTGAGCTATGATGACACCCAGGACAACAGAGTGAGACTCTGTCTCAAAAAAAAAAAAGAATAAATAAAATAAAAACAAGCAAACAACGTCCTTATTCTTGAACACCTTGAAAGCAGGGATCACATTCTTCATTTTGCTCCCTGCTTCCCACCTCCCCACCCCGTGCCTCGCACAGATCTGCTTAGCAAATATTCTCCGAGTGAATGACACCTAAAGATTGCTGCCACTAAACAGCAGAAGCATTATTTAGTTAGGGAAAAGGGAGGCAATTTTCCTAAGAGTGTGATGTCGTCCCTACAAAAAGACGTTTATGAGGTAGAACAAACAATAATAAAAACTTCCCTTTGAGCTGAAAGAAGACGACAAGGTAATGGACTAAGTGGCGGCTCTTTTCTTTGGTTCCCAAAAGCTCTTATTAGTTAGTGCGGTTTAAACAACCAATTACAGTAAATTCGCATTTTACCTAATTCAAATGCATCGGGCCTAACCATTTACTTTGGCAGCAGTGGTTACTGCATAATTTGAGCAAAATAATATAAGCAGTGTATTATTATATGGGCCAAATGCATTATACCACCAAGGAAACTGAGGGAGCTAACTTGGGACTTTCAAGAGCCTAGAGCAGTGATTTTCTTTTTCTTTTTTTTGAGACAGAGCCTCAAGCTATCCCCCTGGGTAGAGTGCCATGGCATCACGCTCACAGCAACTTCCAACTCTTGGGCTCAAGCGAGTCTCCTGCCTCAGCCTCCCAAGTAGCTGGGACTACAGGCGCCCACCACAACGCCTGGTCATTTTTTGGTTGCAGCCATCATTTGTTTAGCGGGCCCGGGCTGGGGATTCGAACCTGCCACCTTAGGTGTATGTGGCTGGTGCCTTAGCCGCTTGAGCCACAGGCGCTGAGCCTAGAGCAGTGATTTTCAACCGGTGTGCCGTGGCTAAGAGGATCTTAGGTGTGCTCAGAAAATGTTTAAAGATCATTAATTAAATTATTTTCCAAAGAAGTTCAAAGCATAGTAAGTATATTCTTTTTTTTTTTTTTACTCTTTTCTTGGATCAACATAATTGATCTTAAATTATGCCACGAAGCTTGACTATAGGTTCAATGTGCTGTAAGATAAAAAAAAAAAAAAAAAAAAGCTGGAAAACACTGTCTCAGACCTTTGCGGCATTATTATATATATCTGAAACAACATGACCACCCAAAGCATATATCATGTACATTTTCACTTTTTTGAAATTAAAAAATAATTGCCATTGGAATTGGTGAATACAAATACTTTCTTTTAGTTAATTTGGGAGTTAATTAAGAGCCTAGATTTATGGGGAAAGGAGAGGAATAGGATTATGGCAGATTCAATGCAGAGCACACAGTTACTTTTGAATTGTAAATAAACAATGGATGCTGCATGGTGTAAGTATACCCCCAATACTGCACCTGCATGGCTGTTTACCTGAAACTCAAATGTAACTGGGCACCCTGTAATTTCAGGCGTTAAATCTATCACCCTGGTTGCATGAGTCACTCAATCAGCCTTTAAAATGGGCCTAGACTTTGGCACCTGCAGTCCTATCTCCCCTTGGAGCTTGACCTAAGAAGGCTGTCTGAGCCCCGAAGTTTAGTCATTTTAATACAGATTCAAAATGTTCAGATACACAAAAAAATGAACTGTGAACAGATGAAACCCTTGCCCAGTGAAAAATGTCACACTCTAATAAATGAAGACTGCAAGGTTTTCCTGGGATGCGGTGGGATTGAGAAGTTAAAGTCCACTTAACCTGCCATGTCTTATGTCAGTGGTAACCAGAAATTTAGTTTAAACTATGGGAGAATTCCAGAGAGGTACTGCAGATAGCGGAAACTACCCAAAACAGCAGGGGTTGAAAGTGGCTGGAGAGATACTTTCACTAACTATCCCTCTTAAGGCATCAACAAATGAAGCCGTTGTCATTTACTGAGTTTCTGATGTGTGTCTGGCAGAAGATAGGGAAAAAATATAAAGTTTTGCCCTCAAAAGCTTATCACCTAGACAGAGAAATTAGAAAAAAAATTAAACGGTAAATTCTATAGATTTTCCTTTAAGGTCAGAGAAAGCAGGGCCTCAAGAATGAATGGGTCAGAATTATGGGGAAGGCCTCAAATGATGAAGGTTGGGCTGAAATGGATAATGTTTGAATAAGCATACTTGAGAAATTTTAAATAAATCCTAAAACAGCCTCTTAATGCCTCTTAAGAAAAGTGGTTTAATTAAGCTTAGAGTTGTTCGAACATGGCAAAAGGAAACACTTTGGCCTCCCACTTCTGTTCTCAGGTATTTTAATCCACCCCCGCACTCTTTATCGTATGCAAAAACTGAACTGAAAAGTTTTAACATTATTTTAGTACATAGGTTATTTTCACAAAATGTTATAATGTGGATACCTACACATTTAGGGCTAGGACACAATCACTAGCTGAGGATCTATCCATTTCATGTAAATGCTTCCCACATGCTGGATCCCCTCTTTTTATCACTCATTTAACAAATATTTTCTGGGTACATTATGTTCCAGGCATAGTTATTGGTACCATGAATTCAGGGAAGGCTAAGACATAGAGAGACTCTCAGGCTTCCCAGAGCTCTCACAGGCTATAGCTAGAACACTTCTCAGGCAGTCTGTCTTACACCTACCAGAAAATCAAACTCCTAGAAATTAGCAGCGACTCGGGAGAGCAACAGAGAACTAGCAGACACTCCTTCCTACACATCCTGCAGATACTTGAGGAATATAATGCTGCTGCTTAGTCTTCTCTTCTTGTTGACCGATCTTCCTACAATATGGTTTACATTTTTCTCATCACTCTACTGTCACTCTTGTTTGTCCAGATTATGGTATGTAGGATTAGAAATGATTCCAGTGTGAAATACAAAATCAAGAATAGGGTATTGCTGAGCACAGTGGCTCGTGCCTGTAAGTCCATCATTTTGAGAGGCCAAGGAGGGAGGATTACTTGAGCCTGGGAGCAGAGGCCAACCTGGGCAACACAGTGAAACCATGTCTCTACAAAACAAATAAGAAAAATCAGCCAAGTGTGGGGGCGCACATCTATAGTCCCAGCTACTGTGGAGGCTGAGACAGGAGGATTGCTTGAGCCCACGAGGTTGAAGCTGCAGTGAGCTATGATTGCAGCACTGCACTCCAGCCTAGGAGATGAAGTGAGACCTTGTCTTAAAAAAACAAAACAAGGCTCGGCGCCTATAGCTCAACCGGCTAGGGCGCCAGCCACGTACACCTAAGGTGGCGGGTTCGAATCCCCAGCCTGGACCCGCCAAACAACAATGACGGCTGCAACCAAAAAATGGCCGGGCGTTGTGGCGGGCGCCTGTGGTCCCAGCTACTTGGGAGGCGGAGGCAGGAGACTCGCTTGAGCCCAGGAGTTGGAGGTTGCTGTGAGCTGTAATGCCACGGCACTCTACCCAAGGGGACAGCTTGAGGCTCTGTCTCACAAAAACAAAACAAAACAAAACAAAACAAAAAAACCAGTATTAGGCAGCGCCCGTAGCTCAGTGAGTAGGGTGCCGGCCACATACACCAAGGCTAGAGGGTTCGAGCCTGCCCGACACCTCCTAGACAACAATGACAACTGCAACCAAAAAACATCTGGGCATTGTGGCGGACACCTGTAGTCCCAGCCCCCTGGGAGGCTGAGACAAGAGAATCACTTAAGCTCAAGAGTTGGAAGTGTGATGCCATGGCATTCTACCCAGGGAGACATGGTGAGACTCTGTCTCAAAAAAAAAAAAAAAAAGAAAGAAAAAAAGAAAAAAGTATTAAATAATAACTACTAACCA